TTGAATTGCACCGGTTATGAGTATGCATACGATTTAGTATCCCTGCTATTGTTTCTATATATTTTCATTCATATCTTTATTTTCATAAGAAACATTGTACAGACTATTTTACCGTGCGATGCACGGGTACACAAACTAGTTTAAAATGTGACAGTGCTTCCGTTCAACTCTCCCATTTTGCTGGGGCATATGTACATAGGAGGTTTGAAATAAAATGCCATGAGTATCAAAATAAGGAAGCAAGCACTTAAATTCAGTCTCATTATCACTGCGCACAATTTTGACAGGCAAAACATATTGTTTCTCAACCATATAGCAATAAAAGAGAGGAAAAATTGAAGAACCTCCTTCTTGTCACGTAATAAATAAACCCATACGGCACGAGAAAAATCATCCACAAGCGTAAGAAAATAAACCGCGTCACAAGTAAATGGAGTCTTATACAATCCTCACAAATCACTATGAATAAGTTCAAGTATCCTACTTGCTTCGTTATTACTAATAGGAAAAGAATCACGAACTTGCTTGGCCCGCGGACACACCTCACAAGCTTTATTCAATTTTTTCTGGAAAGAACTAGCTAGAATTAACTGCAGGTAAAAGTTTAAGGACCCGATCATACGGATGATCCAAGACGACGATGCCACAACTCGAACTCCGATACTGCTGCGGATGTCTTGATGTTATGCAAAACCGGTACTCGTACAAATGCCACACATACAACCTCGTCGGTGTCTTTAAATTTGAGATTTTTACACTTCTTACATGGACATCTGATTTTATCACCACCCATATAATTTGGGTGTTCAAGTGCAAATGTAACAAACTCCCCGATTCCATCATGAAAATTTGTTTTCATTCCGTACAATTCCGCATGTTTATCATACATCCAACTTCTATTTTGTCTATACATTGTGCCTGAATGTTATGACCAACAAATTATATTGGTTAAAAACTATAAATTATAAACATCAGCAATAATTTGTTATGTTTAATATATTCATCACTAATTTATATTTAAGAACATTAATATATTACATTTCGCTAAAGTTCACTAAAATTAAGTAACATTAAATTAATATTATTAATTAACTAAAAACTGCACGTTAATGACATTAATCATTAAAATTGTTAACTAATTCACAATATTTAGGAATATTGATAAATTAAATTTCACTAAAATTTACTTAAATTAACTAACGTTCAATTAATATTATTAATTGACTACAAAGAATACGTTAATGGCATTAATTCACAATACTAAAATTTTGAAAGTCTAATAATACAAAATAAACAATTCACTAAATTAAATGAAATCCAAATAATTCACAATAATAATTCACACTAAAGTAACGTTTCAATCCTAACTTAAATCATTATAAATCCTAAATTAGGAGTTAACAATATTGCCAATAAATAAATCTAATAATTTTATTTTAAACCCATTTGAATGAACTAATATTTAAATTTAATTAGCATTATCAAAAATTTAACTAATTTACCTAATTTGAACTAAATTCAACTTAACACTACGTTTAAACCTACGTTTAACTAATTTTAACTAAATTATTTTATAAACCTACAAATTTAACTAATTTACCTAATTTTAGCTAAATACAACTTAACTCTAAAGTAATGTTTCACAATATTTCTTTGTAATATTTGTAGTCAAATTTTAATGTTTCACAACTTAACTAATTAGTATTCTTTGTAGTCACATTTCGCTAAAGTTCACTAAAATTAAGTAACATTAAATTAATATTATTAATTAACTAAAAACTGCACGTTAATGACATTAATCATTAAAATTGTTAACTAATTCACAATATTTAGGAATATTGATATATTAAATTTCACTAAAATTTACTTAAATTAACTAACGTTCAATTAATATTATTAATTGACTACAAAGAATACGTTAATGGCATTAATTCACAATACTAAAATTTTGAAAGTCTAATAATACAAAATAAACAATTCACTAAATTAAATGAAATCCAAATAATTCACAATAATAATTCCCACTAAAGTAACGTTTCAATCCTAACTTAAATCATTATAAATCCTAAATTAGGAGTTAACAATATTGCCAATAAATAAATCTAATAATTTTATTTTAAACCCATTTGAATGAACTAATATTTAAATTTAATTAGTATTATCAAAAATTTAACTAATTTACCTAATTTGAACTAAATTCAACTTAACACTACGTTTAAACCTACGTTTAACTAATTTTAACTAAATTATTTTATAAACCTACAAATTTAACTAATTTACCTAATTTTAGCTAAATACAACTTAACTCTAAAGTAATGTTTCAAATTTAATAAACCAACTAATTTAACTCAAATTTTAACAAATTTTAATAAACCTAAATATGAGCAAACATTTAACTAATTTATCTAATTTTAACTTAATTTGTCACTATGTTTAAACCTATGTTTAACTAATTAATTATACTACTAATATTAACATGTGTTTAACTATTTTAACCAAATTATTTTATAAACCTAAAAATTTAACTAACTTTATGACATCACTACTATAAGCTTATATTTTAATATATTGTTAATTAATTAACAAGCTCACTAATTTATAATACAATTCTGTAAAACGAAATAATTAATTCTTAATAAAAATACATAATTCGAATGACATACCTTATATGCATAAACAGAGAAAATTACACAAGATAGATTATATCCCACATGATAATAAAATGTACGATAATAGTTAAATGACAACTTGCTACTCATTAGTTAAATTAGTCCTAAACATGTGAAAAATTATCATCATCATCATACCTAAAACAACTACATATGAGAGAGAAAATTATCCCACTCAATTGTTAGGAAACTTATCTTCTTATCTTCATCTTCATCATATACCTAAAATCACTATATAAGAGAGACAAATTTGTCCCGTTCAATTATGAGCCCACTTAACTTGTACGAATACTTAAAAAACTACATATGAGAGAGAAAGTTATCCCGATCAATTGTTAGTAAACTTATCTTGTATCGTCTAATACCTAAAAACACTACACATGAGAGAGAAAATTCTCTCACTCAAATTTTCTGCTCAAGAACTTTCCCAAGAACTACATATAAGAGAAAACCCTCCACTCAATTGTAAGCAAAATTATACTCGTATTGTAATACCTAAAAGCAACACATATGGGAGAGAGAATTCTCCCGCTCAATTATTAGCAAACTTTCCTTCTTATATCTAAACGCACTACATCTGAGAGAGAGAAATTCTCTCGCTCAAATGTTAGCCGACTTATCTCTTTTTATACCTAAAAGCACTACATATGAGAGAAAAACTAATTATTTGAGTATCATGGTTGATGAAGAGTGTTAAGATTTGAGATTATTTCAAATTTATTAAATAAATGTGATGTCGCAATGATTTGTATTAGAAAAATAATTTATTTTAAGATCATGAACGAAGATGCTCTTATAATACCTAAAATCACTATATATGAGAGACAAAATTATTCCGTTCAATTGTGAACTCACTTAAAGTATACTTAAAACTTTTAACTGTTAAAAGAATATTTATACTTACCCAATCTACTTATGCTCCCATTATTTGTGGTTATGTAAAACTTTAGCTCTAAAACGTAAACTAAATTTAATCCGATCCGAAAGTTTACTGTTTTTTTCATACAATTTTTTATTTATTTTATTATTAAGTAATTCATTATTCTCCCCATCACTGTATATAGTAGTTCCGATACAGTCCATAATACATAATTCAGTTTTTCCATAACCGCAAAACATTTATCATGCTTTCATGATGATGTTAAAAAATATTCCGTATATTGATTATAACATGAATTTGAGATTATTTAAATTAAATTTATTAAATAAATGTGATGTCGCGATGATTTGTAATAGAAAAATCATTTATTTTAAGATCATGAACGAAGATGCTCTTATAATACCTAAAATCACTATATATGAGAGACAAAATTATTCCGTTCAATTGTGAACCCACTTAAAGTATACTTAAAAGAATATTTATACTTACCCAATCTACTTATGCTCCCATTATTTGTGATTATTTGTGAAAGTTTACTGTTTCTTTTCATACAATTTTTTATTTATTTTATTATTAAGTAATTCATTATTCTCCATCACCATATATAGTAGTTCCGATACAGTTCATAATACATAATTCAGTTTTTCCATAACCGCAAAACATTTATCATGCTTTCATGATGATGTTAAAAAATACTTCGTATATTGATTATAACATGAATAATAAAGAAAATATTGTGGGGCAGATTGAAATTTGTACATAAAAGAGAGAAATAATATGAATCACAAATCGAATTGATTTAAAAAATGTGGTGAACTTTTTGAATAAATTCAAAAAGAAAAAATGACAAAATATTAAGATTAAGGCATAGAGAGAGCATAACGTCTTTGACATAAACAGTCCAAGATTCACTTTTTAATGACAGTACTGATTTCATATACTATAATGTTTTTAGTGGTTCCATATAATATAACTAACCATGATAGTATTGAATTATTGATTAATTAATTAATAAGAAAAAAACATAAAAAAGAGCACCAAGCTAAGGAAAAAGAAGATTGCACTGTTTGCAGAGAACCACCGGCTCCAGCCGTTGGTGATAAAAATTGGCCAGCGTTTTTTAAGGAAGGGATTTAATAATAAGTAACGTAATAATAATAAAAGAAAATTAGCAAATTGTAATCCAATTATTATGAGGCCACGTGGCAACAAAATAGCAAAGGAGTAAAATAAGGGGAGATTGACACGTTAGAATTTTTTAAGGGTAAAAGAGTATTTTGCACGGCCTATTCTTTTCTTATAGATAATAAATAGAATAGAATAGAATAGATAAGAGGACCCAGCAGCCTTTTGATAATCTCTTCAAAATTAGAGCCCAGCAGCCCGTTGATAATCCCTATTCAGACTAAATAAATACTCCCTCGCTGTTCGGGTCTTCTAATACACACACGCTTGGGAATAGTAACAGGTCGATAGATCTGGGAGGCGGCATGGATGAGCAAGTAATGCTGGGAGTTCTTCTCTGTTTGCCTCCCAAAGCAATCTACCGATTCAGAGTCGTATCTAAAACCTGGAACGAACTGATTTCCCACCCCTTTTTCATTGAGAGGTACGACGGCAGGCGGCGGCGCGGCGGTCCACGTTTGTTGGCCTTGTTCCAGACATCTGTTTGTTACAGTGATCGCTGGCCACCTACATATCACACCAACATACTCTCTGTCGATCTTCCTCGTAATCGTAAATTATGGCGGTTTCTAAAATTAAGGGATTGCAAGGTCATAAATTCTTCGGGCGGTTTGATCCTCTGTGCTGCAAGAAGCAACGATGCTTTTTACCCCAATGATTACTACGTTCTCAACCGTATAACGCAAAAGTTAGTGTCGCTGCCGCCGACGAAGTGGCTTTGTTTCGGGACCATTGGTTTGATGTGCGAAGAGAATAAGCATGAACTGGCCGCCAAGTACATAGTCGTCCGTACAGCAATTGGGAGTTCGTTAAATTTGGGGATAGAGACTTATTCATCCGAAACCGGAGTCTGGTCTGCCAAACGGAGTATAACCTTCCCAGACAGATATAAGATAAATCTAATATCCGGTGATCCTTCAGTGATGAACGGTGTTTTCCATTGGGCCCCCCACCTCTACAAAACAATGGCGCTTTACCGTCCACGTGAAAACAATTTTCAGTTCATCGATGCCCCAGTTGATCTACATCTACATGATCATCCTCTTCTAATTCCCCTAATTCACTATTCACACAAATCCCATGCTTTTACAAGGTCATCCATTGAGGATGGGGACATGTTATGGTACAGCACTATGGACTTCCGTGCTACGATGACGGTTTTCGTGCTCCCGAAGTGTATAGAAGATGGGGCGAACAACACCATCCGGCCAACTATCATAACCTGTAATGAGTGGGTGGTGGTATACCGCATAAGTGTCAGTTCGCTCTGGAACGATGTCATCTTACTCTCACCAAATGAGAGGAAAGGGGTTGTGAAGGAAATACTCTTGGATGCCTTTGTTCCGGCTCAGAAGAAGGAGAAGAACAATTCTCTTGTCGTGATTCTCAGGGTAGAAAGAGGGGGCGTGTATCTTTATGACCTTGACTCCAAATCCATGGAATGTATTCGATATTCTGGTCGCCTGGTAAGCAAGAATGATGATGGATATGACAATTATTCTCGAAGACTATGGCCTTACTTAGAGCCCTTTTCCCTTTCTGCATACGCTCTAAATTAGGGTGGTTGTGTGATTATTTTGTTAGTTTCATTAGTCAAGTCTAGGTTTAGAAGTTTAAGAATATTTTCTCATACAAATAAAAGCATTATTTTTCATATTTGGGGTGAATGAAGACTCGATCAGGAAAGCGACCAAGCCTTCATATTAAAGCACCCAAAGTTTTTTTTTTCTTTAATTTTATTCTGATGTGGAATGGATTGAAGTTATAAACAATCTATTGTTTCATTTATCAACAGATCGATTCAAAGTGAATATTGCCAGATAAATGTTAGGAGTTGAAAAGTGTAGTAGTAATATCGATTCAAAGTGAATACTGCCAGATAAATGTTTGGAGTTGAAAAGTGTAGTAGTAATATAAAGACCATTTTTTTCTAAATGTTAAGGTGTACTAGATCATTTAGCAAGGAAATCACCCACACGAAACATAATCAAAGCCTTGAGGAATTGTAAAGTTGGAATTGGAATAAGATAATATACCCTCTCGTTTACCAAAATTTGCTCCTTTCATGAAATTTTTTAACTGGAACCTCTACCTCAAACTATGATGATGTCTAACTTATCGTAAAGAGGCCTGAATCGTTTATTTTTGAGTGATATTTTGAGAGAATATTACCCGAAATAGAACTAAAAAAGTTTGAAAAATGCAAAATAGGATTGTCATGTTTTTATTCTCAAAATAAGACTAATTAGTGTCATGTTTTGGCATTATCAGGCTTCAAATATGACAGTGTTTTCCAAACCGGACAGTAATTACTTCTATTTTGGAAATAAAAACGTGACAGTCCTATTTGAAATTTTCAAACTCTTGTAATCCTATTTCGGGAACTTTCCCATATTTTGATGAACTTTTTTATTATGTGTGAAGTCACAATTAAGCAAACATTTACTTTGTTGTGAACCCATTAAATGTAAGGTATATTTAAACTAAAAGAACATCAAAATCATCTAATAAAAGTAAAAAGAATTTAAATGCATTATCTAATCAAAATTGACTTTCTTTTAGTCAGTACAATGTAGATGTGGAAGAGAATTACACTCGCTAAAAGTTACTAAGCGACGACCACTTTACTCACTATCCTTATATTCATAATATATTAAATATTATTTCTTATGCATCTCAATAATAAATAATATTTGAAAGTTTTAATTAATCAAATTATTTAAAAAAACATATTGCGCTTTATGTATATAAATAAAGTACAATACATTTAAATAATTTATTTAATTGTCTTCCTGATTAAAAATTAAGTTGAAATTTTCGTAGGCACAAACTAGAAAAAATAGTGAAACTAAGACAGCTAGGGACTCAAAAGACAAAATTGGGACCACTTCATAAATTGGACAAAAAAGAAACTAGTTTTAATTAAATGTCCTAATTTACCCTTACTATATATTCCTAGTAAAACCCCAAGTCCCCAACCCTTCTCCGTTCTCCAAATTAGGGATGTCAAAAAACCCGATCCGCAATGACTCGCCTTGGCCCGAGACATTTGGGGCGGACCCGCCCTGCCCCGTCTTGTAAATGGGGCGGGTCCGCCCCGCATATACAATGGGGCGGGTCCGGGTATTAGTCTTGACCCGTGCCGCCCCGACCCGCTCAATATACAAGTGTACATACTTCTTCTTAAAGTATACTATAAGTATACTTCAACATTCATATGTGTGTATACAATATATATTAAATTCTTTGATCTTATAATATATTATTATATATATTATAATGAGATGAACGACGGATTATCTATGTCTTCTTTATATATAGCATTTTTTTTGAAAAACTTTATATATAGCATTTTAATACCTATATTCAATTATTAATATAATTAAATAGATTAACTATTCAAGTCAGATTAATTATTCCTTAATTTTTGAAATTTTTAGCGTATCATGAATTTGATTTAATATATAAATTTTTAATTATTATTTAGAGATAAGCTTTATGTAGATTCAATTGTTAACGACTTCCCACAAATAAAAATACATACTAGCTAATTAGGTTACGACGAGGCGGGGCGGGTCCGCCCCGCCTTGCCCCGCATGGGGCGGGTCATGGGTCAACAAGTTTGGACCCGTGCAGGTCACGGGGCGGACCTGCCCCGCCAAGTCACGTGGCGGGTCCGGGTCTTCCAATACCCGCCCCTCCCTGCCCCGACCCATTGTCATGCCTACTCCAAATCAGTATCATCGCATCGTCCCTCACCCATCCGCTTCCGCCACCGCTCACCTCGTCGGCATCGCCACCGCTCAGCTCGCCCCCGCCTCCCTCGGCTTCCTCTCATCCTCTTCGCCGCTTGGCTTCCAGTCGTCGCTGTCACCTTAGCTTCCACATCAACCGTCTCCAACGATCGTCATCGTCACCATCTCCATCTCGAGCGGTCTTCGCCGTATCCACCCTAATCCATCGTCATCCCAACCATCGTCTACCCTGAGCAGGTGGCATCGACTATGTCCAGATCCATCGACATCTCTAACCTAAGTTGGTGTTCCACATTCGTCGCCGTCTCTGACCTACTTTGTCATCGGCGGTGACGGTTAACACGGGATGAGTGAAGGCTATGGAGGATACAGCCAAATCAAATCTACGGTGAATGGGAGTGGCTAGGGTGGGGCAGAGGGAAGGGAAGGGGCGGGTCTATTGTGGGCTGGTGGGGCAGAGGGCGGGCAAGGGTAGGGCTTGGGTGGACTGGTGGGGCTGGGATGAGCAGGGGAGCATGATAGGGTGGACTGGTCGGGCTGGGTGAGCCGGGGGACGTGGAGGCGGGCGGAGGGCGGCGGGTTACCGGTGGTGGATGGAGGGGGGTAGCGGTGCTCACTATTGGTCTGAATAACTGTAATGCGTGGGATTTGCGAATCGTGAATCTTGGTTCGAATAACTTTAACTGGGCGAATTTGATAAATGTAATTGACGAATTGAGTAACTGTAACTGGGGGATCAGGTAACTATAACTGGCGAGTCAGGTAACTGTAAATGTCGGGTTAGGTAACTATAATATGTCGATTGAGTAACTGTAACTGACGATTCAGATAACTGCAACTAGTGGCATTGAATAACTGGTGACGATGAGTCAGTGGTGATTTTTTTTATCACTAACGAATTTTTTGTCATTGACTGGATTTTGTAACCGTCTCTGTCGAAACGAGTCATTATGACATAGGTCATTGTGACACAGGTCACTAGCGGGTATTGTAGCAAGTCAGTTAGTGCTTGGGCTTAGTAAGGGTGCAGTAGTCCCTTTAGTATTATTTAGTCCCTTTTTTGGATCTTAAAAATGTTTCTTTTCTCTCCACACCTCTTTTTTTAGTAATATTTTAGACATAACCCCTATAATATAATTTATGTGCCCATGTAGAATAAACATATGTGCATTCCTACTGTATGTTCTCTCATTCCTACTGTCTGTTCTCTCAATTTTATTACATACGTGCATTCTATTCTACATTTGCACTGCTTGTGAATTTTAATGCTTTTTAAATAGTTTTTAATGTACATGTTAACGAAATCTTCTGTTTAAACTTTAAGCTTTCCAAATAAAATGTTTTAGTCTTAGACCACAATGTCTTCTGTAAGAGGAAGTTTCAATTCTTTTAGTGGAGGTCATGGAGGACTGGGGGATGTCCAATATTGGAGGTTCCGTGGAGCAAAACCATAATGTTGACCAACATTCTCCTATGCCTACTTCCCATGAGTTCGTTCAATCAAGATTCGTGCATGATGAAAATTGTGATAATTTGGGCCATGGGTCTCTCCAGAATGTGTCCAAAATCTGGATCCAACCCCATGAAATGCGCAGGTTTGGTTGCTTGCTTGTCTTTATTCATTTGCATTTTACTTTAAATGTTATGATGATTTCCAATACTAGTCCCATGTAGCAACTCTATTGTCCTTAACTCTATTATTTCGATCATTACCAACAATTTCCATGGGCCGTGGCACTCATACAAGCATGCAGAAGCTGATCAACAACAACAACGGTGGTGGAGGTTGTTTGAGTTACATTTTTTTTTAATCATCAAACGGACCTCTATTCATATCAAAAGATTCAGGATCGTTACATCAAGCAAAGGAAAAATAACACTGACACCGACTGAAACTCCAACAATTACGACTGTAACCCTATGGTGAGACTTTGAGACGATCACCCCTGAGAGAGCAACACGAATCGCTAACCTGAAAAATCCAAAGAGAAATATAGTTTGTTGATCTCCTTAACGAGGCGCAGCTCCCATTATTTTTCTTTTAATTTTTCGGAGACTTTTTAAAATCGGAGTTAATTTTTCTAACGGCGTTAGACGCCATGCCCCTGCTATGATAACGGAATTGAAACATATGCCCCACTTTGTTAGAAAATAAAACACATGCCCCTATCTGAAAATGGCCCAAACCACAGGTACGTTTTCTGAACTTTTCCCCAAAAAAAAGATGTGGAGCAAACCTTCCTCACTTTTTTGACATCAACTTCTCCTTGAGCAAACTACATATCAATACAATTATACCTCACTCCTTCCCCATCCATCTCTCGTTGAATGTCGATTGCCAATCATTGTGCTTTTTCAATTTAGATCTTGAAGCTCTCTAGTACTAGATCAAAGAAGCTATTTCCCAAATTCTAGAGAATGTATATCTTATTCGTGGCTAATTTCTTCCAGAAATCTATGATAACTTGGTTCAATATCTATGTGGTTGTGCTCCCCGGGGGCAATATCTTGGTTCATTTAGGGCTACATCAAACTGAAAAATTACTTGTGTTCATAGATTTATTTAAATAATAACTGAAAAACGTTTTAAATAGTTGTAGTAATAACGTTAATGAAAAATAGTTCATGTCCTTAAATGTCATTAAACAAGTTATCAGCTAATTACAAACAACCATTTTACAAAATGCTTATACTAGCAGTTAATCAAAACAGCCAACAGAACCTGCTGACATCAATCAGCTAACACAATCAATCAACAGCTAACAGCCATTTGCCAAACACCCTCAATGTTGATGGTTACAATATGAAACATATTTATACCGTTTCATCTCACTTCACACCTTATTTCATTTTTTTCTTTCTTTCTGGAGTTTGAATTTCATAATGAGCTCTACATATGTATATTCCATATACTTATATTATTGGGCATTTATCGAATCGCGTAACACACGTATAAAAAACTAGTTTTATAAATAAATGGTTATATGGCACATGGCACCAGACTATTGCTTGTAAATTTAGTTTTTGAAAAAGATTAAAATTGGATAGGGGCTTGCGTGTGT